CGTTGAAAATATCACCGATGAATGAGATGACATCCAAATGACCCATAATTTGGGTGAAAGCGGTCTCTTTTTTAGTGATATGAGTTATATGAGAGTCCAGTTGAATGAGTCCTAAATAATTGAGACACAGAGGAGGCGCCAAACGACACAAAAGCCTTTAATTCAAACACATTTTTAAAATTAATATTAAATGCAAATATATTTTCAGTCATTGTTAGACTAAAGGCGAGCAAATGAAAGGGAGTTAACATTTGCTGTCATTTGAATGCTTACATTCCGCAGAAGATGAGACTGTATTCATCTGTTTGGTGATGGGCTGAGAGGTAATAGTAATTGAAAATTCTGATCTTAAATACTGTATAATAAGCACAAACGCACAGATAGGCTATCGATACGATCGAAAATGACTGCAAATAAAACAGGTATTAATTGACATAAAATTGTAATTCAATTCATAGTGAATACAATACCTCAATAAGAAAGTAACTGTAATTATTTCTCAATGCTTTCATAATTAATGCAAAAATGCTAAGAGGAATGGATTCAACAGAGAATGTCATTTCAGACCAGACAACCATCAATGAGAACACTGTTAATACATATCCGAGCACTCGATAGAAATATGACCGAAACAGACACTTCCAGTACCACTCAATCTTCGGAGTATATACTGATTCTCTTATTATATTAGCCAAAGTAGACATTGAACGGCGCTTCTCAATGGTAGGTCTGTAGAGACGACTCAAACTGACCTCGTTTTTGGCCACATCTTCCCATTCAATGGATTGACTTATAATTCTATTCCATTGGCAGTGAGTTCTGTGATTTGTTTGCATCGCTTGTATGATATTCTTATGCATTCGCGTCAAAGACTTCTCATTGAATCCATTTCCCGAATAATTCACAGAAAGACTGCTATTTTGTGCCAAACGAGTCATCATTTGTTGTTTCCATTCCGGCGGACATTTATCTACAATAATGTCCAGATATGGTCGCATCGGGTCGTGATCTCCCGACAGTGATTCGAGACACGTTTGGATCTCTTCCAAGACGTCTTCAAGCTTTTCGTCGGATTCGCACTTTTCTGCGCTTAGTTTAGAGACTCTAAAGTAGAGGTAACTCAAAGTGCGGCCGTAATGACTGCTATTGAAACACGATCGCGGGATCTCTACCAACCCGTACCCCAACAATACCACCAGTAAGAAGAGTCCCCACGTGTTGGCAGCCGTTATACATATGATTTTAATGCCCTCTAAACTAAGGTGTGTTTTAATCGACACATAGATTATAAACACAATGAAAATGACGGCAAATGATCCGTAATATATAGCGTTATCGATTAGAGCGGCCTTTAATTTGCCACCGGCTGTGAACTCTCCGGCCATTGAATACGATTGCATCAGAGGTAAGACAATCCAAGTGAGCACTTGTGACGTCCAATAGACTATACGCCAAAGAGTGGGCAATACTTGATTGGGAGCGTAACTCCAGGGCTCTTCGCACGGGCTTAACGTCGGTAGGATTGGTATTAAAGGGACGGCAGTTGTCGTCACATTAGTCACATTCAGCTGATCCACCATTTGGTGTACAACAGTCTCATGACTTGTGATATTGAAGTCTTGCAAACATTGCAAATACGTTGTCTGAGGAGACAAAACATGTCATTAAATATTTAAATATGGTTCAAATCATTTCAACTAAAATATTAAATATTTCTGCAAATATAGCTCAACACCACTTGATATGGGATCAGATAATGATATACACTATATATAAGACAAACGAAATGAATATTTACGGTCGAGATATCCAACGGAAGAATAAATATAACGATGAATGAGAAGAACCAGGAGATGAAGACCGAGACAGTGGTTACGATGTTTTGGTCGACCCAATTGCCGAACCGATTCAACAGATACGATGACAACACAAATGTGATGATAATCTCGACGGTGAGCGGCCAGAACGCCATCGCCAGACACTAACGATGATTACTGTTATAGCATATCGTAATTGTCACACAATATAACAATCACCGCAAATGTCGTCAACAATACAATTGTCTCAAAAGTCAATTCAAGTGAAAAGTATCTCAAAAAATCATTTCATTTGTTTTAGAAATCACTACAAATGAGGTGTCGATTAAAATCATTAAAAATATGTTTAAATCATTTGCATTACAGTTAAGTAAAACACCACTCAATGACAGTTAGTGCCAAACAATCTCACTATTAATGTGACGCACTGTACATGCATTACACCATTGCATGTTCAGCAATGAATACCCTATACCTCAACAATACAGTACACAATATAGCATATAATCAATTATATTCGTATCAATTAATTATTATATAAGATATTTGTATAATTAAATCTCGTTTATACGCTCTTAAGACTAACATTGAATGTAATGAATGGCACACTAAGTGTGACACTTGTCAGTACAGCCCAGACATAGACCGCACTCTCACTTCACTCACACACCGATTCTGTGTAAGAATCGCATCACAGAATCGCACACTTTATAATACTTGTATGCATAGCACGTGTATTGTATTTTTATATTCATTATTATTATGTTTTATAGTTTAAATCTAATCAAGTTTGAAGTTTTGATAAATTATTTACACAATTAATTAATTATAGAAATCAAATCAACATAAACGCAAAGTGGTTGTAGCAGAATAAACAAGTCACCATGTTACCATGCCCTATCTTTGTATCATTAATCATGTTTGTACATCAATGTATCATTTAAGATGTTACCATTAACATTTTCGTAAATTATTTTACAGTTAATTAATTCATTTACCAAATTATTCATTAGTTTGCAAATAGTGTACAATTAACTGATGAAAAGGGGCTAAACTAAGTGAGCGGCGAATATATGGTAACGTAATATCTGAACGGGAAATGGAAGAGAGGGTCACGTGTTTCCACTTTTGATGCCTTCCTTTACGTGTCTCTCATTTTCAGGTAATTTTCAAATTGTGTTTAAATTCACTCTTTTTAGTCATTATTTAATTGATTTACAATTAATTGAATTCCGGTTTTGATTAATCACACAATTATTTGCTACCAAATTGTATGTCAAGTGATTTTAAGTCCCAAAACAGTGTATTTCTAACAAAAGACAGATTTGTTGAAAACGGCGTGACTTTTATTGTCAATGCTTTTGAATGCATACAAACTTAGTGTCCATTCATTCAATACATTTGTTTTATTACACATTGAATTCAATTAATTGTCATTTAATTATTGTTTACATTATTTTTATGAATTAATTTTAATTGTTTTGTCGATTCAGACGATGTACTCATCAAATGCTAAGATACAGAAGCCTTTGGGCGAAAAAGTGGATGAATTTGAGTCTTCAATATCTCAGGTCTGAATGAGTACTCCATATAACCATTGATTAAACCATAACTTATGTCTTCTGTATGTTTAGGCTCTTCTGGACCTCGAGATGAACAGTGACCTGAAGGCACAGCTGAGGGAACTGCACATCACGGGAGCCAAAGAAGTGGATGTCGTGGGAAAGAAGGCGATCATAATCTTCGTTCCGGTCCCACAACTGAAGGCTTTCCAGAAATTGCAGACAAGAGTTGTGCGCGAATTGGAGAAGAAGTTCAGCGGAAAACATGTGGTTTTCATCGCTAAGCGAACTATTCTTCCGAAACCGACGCGAAAATTGAAGTCTAAGAACAAACAGAAGAGACCGCGAAGGTTGACATCCAGTGCTTGACATGAATGACCACTTCATTCACTTTCGTTTCTATCATTTTAGCCGTACTTTGACTGCAGTTCACGACTCAGTGCTCGAAGATCTCGTATTTCCGGCCGAAATAGTGGGCAAAAGAACTCGTATTCGTTTAGACGGCTCTCGACTAATCAAAATACATTTGGATAAGACTTCCCAAACAACTATTGAACACAAGACCGAGACCTTCGCCGCTGTCTATAAACGCTTGACCGGCAAAGAAGTGACGTTTGAGTTCCCGGAACCGCTATTTTAAGAATATCTTTGAATTCACTTATTTAGCGAATAAATATGACATAAAAATCGTAAATTTGTTTTCAATTATATTTTATATCAATTTGTTTGAGTAAATGGTTTCGCAGAACCAAAACGAAATTTAAAACAAAATTTGATTAAAATTTTAGAAATTTTGCATTAAATAAATATAATCAGGAGTTATATGTAGTGTAAGTATTCTCCCATTAATAACATATTATTTGTGATTTCAAAATGAAATATAAGTTTTGATTAACAATCGAGAAAATTCGCGGCCATTAATAACTCCAATGCAATCTCGGGTGCGATCGGGAACTCAGGGATTTCGGTCGAGCTGTTAGTGTAGCGCACTTTGTATGTGAAGTATTGGCACACTTTCTGCAACACATGCGAAGGGATTTCCCGGAAATGCACTTCATTTGTCTCGTTTTCGGCGAATTGACCTAAAGTGCAGTCAAACACAATCAATGCAATGAACGGCAATGTATGGCCCACTTAGTGAACAAGTGGTGCTGAAGTGCAATACCTGGTCCGGAGAGCATGGCCTTAATGGTGCCGGAGGTGAGCGCGTGCTCTCTCTTGATGATGAACTCGTGAGAGTCCGAAGAGATGAGCTTCACGTACATCGCGTCCGGACCCTCACAACCGCCGTATCCGCCCCTCCCGTCGTCGCCGCACTCATTGCCCGAATCAGACATCGATTACTCTTCGCCCAAATCTAATCCAGTCCTCAATCCTGTCGTCAGTGCAGTCGTCAATGGCTTTGGCCAGTGATTAGTTGAACGCAAATCGCTATACAATTCAATTGAACACTAGTTTTGAAACTCAAATAATAAAGACTTTGTTTGCGTTCAATAGTATAGCGAATGACAAACACTATTCATATATTAAACAAAACAATCATTTCATCACTCATTCACTCATAGATGGAAACACTTGTCCTTTACTTCCTATTGTTTCGCATATTTTAACACCAAATTCACTGTATTTTCAATTTATTGGTCTATTTTTGGCACAACTTTATAAAAAGCGCAAAATTTAAACATATTTGCACTGCATTTCAACTTGGTGCAAATTCATTCAATATTTGCTCAAATATTTATCATTTATGTTAATATAACAAATATTTTTTAATTTTCTTTAGATTTTTTATCCAACAATTTACTGTTAAAAAGTTTTGAAGATTAATATTTCTAAATGTAATATAGGTTTAAATGTGTAAATAAATTAATATAGTTTATAAATAAGTTATTTTCATTGTTAACTATGAATTGAATTCAATTGTTTTATGGGTTCTTAATATGGATTGAATGTCAATGCAATGGCAAATATGTCTCGAGTCTCGATTGGATTGCTTTCTATTTGGTATTTGATTGCATTGATTGCACTTAATTCTCATATAAGTAAAGGGATGTATTGTCTCAAAGGACTGCACTGTTATGTTGCGTCACTTCGACCAACCATTGTCTCAAACATACTGTCATTTTGCCAACACTTGTGCAACAATTTTAAAGTTCTATCCGTAATAACACAGAAACATATTTATGAAATTGATATTTGGGTGGCAATAGAAGACAGAATGAAAACATCGATAGATGGGAACTGTTCTCTTAAATATCGGAAATCAATATGAATTGAAATTTTAATTATATTTGTTTTTAAAATGATTGACTATTTCTGCTTTTAATTTCATTAATAAAATTGTTGGAATAGCTAACCAATAAATGTGTATAGCGTTTGGGGGCAATTATATGTGAGTTTTTAATATGGGGGGCAATTGTATCCGGATATAATTGCACTGGTTTAGAACTTTTGAAATTTGCCTAAAATCTAGATATAATTGCATGCAATTATATGCGGCGAAAGTCGTTAATTGCTACGAATATAATTGATTATCTGCTATATTGTGTACTGTATTGTTGAGGTATAGGGTATTCATTGCTGTACATGCAATGGTGTACTGCATGTACAGTGCGTCACATTAATAGTGAGATTGTTTGGCACTAACTGTCATTCAGTGGTGTTTTACTTAACAGTAATTTCAATAATTTAAACATATTTTTAATGATTTTAATCGACACCTCATTTGTAGTGATTTCTAAAACAAATGAAATGATTTTTTGAGATACTTTTCACTTGAATTGACTTTTGAGACAATTATATTGTGGCGACATTTGCGGTGATTGTTATATTGTGTGACAATTACGATATGCTATAACAGTAATCATCGTTAGTGTCTGGCGATGGCGTTCTGGCCGCTCACCGTCGAGATTATCATCACATTTGTGTTGTCAT